ATCCCTAACGTTCTGTGATTCTGTGATGTCCAACAAGATACTTTGCTGTCCCTTAAGCCCCCGTGTGCCAGTGAACTCTGTTGCAGGATGCCTACTTCGGTAGCATAAATGTACTGGCCATACAAAGCAGAGCACTGAACAGATACAGTGCATTTACTATTTCTGCTCAAACAACTTTTTCATGGTGTAAGTGTCATTCCTATTCACTATCTCTTCAGAAATTAAAGAGGTGCTGGCAATGGTGAAAACTACCACTATATGACTTCACAAGCCAAGGCCAAACAGCCGTACAATAATACAGTGGCTGTATTGACCATGCCAGCCTCAGTGAAGGTGTGTTCAGGCAAGAGTTGAAAGAAATTTCTACTCGACTAACAGTAACAAAAAAGTCCACGATCATCCAGAACATCCTGCCGCATGACAGGGAAAATCCCAAGTTCTTGATGCAGAGCTGACAGATCAGGACAGGGCAGGGCAGGCAGGAGACATAGATTAAGTCTTGGCGAGAGACCCTGGGGAAGCAAGCACCTGAGAAGCCTACACGATCACTGCCTGGCCTCCTGCATGACTGCCTACAGGCAGCACAAAGAACATTCTGAACAGCAGGTGTGAACCGCTGTGCCAGTAGACAAGCATTAACCCAAAACTGACTGGCAATGGACCACTGGGTGCTGGGCCTATCATTTTCCAAGCAACCACAGTGATTCTTCTCACTACTCAGACAGTAATCTTGCATTAGCTACTGTCCTAACAAAGGATGGGTGAGATCTGCACATTTTTTTCCATAGCTGGGAACAGGTACATGTCCTTCTCACCAATGAGGATATCAAGCAGGCTCCTGACCCAGACAACCTGCACACATCCTGCACGGCTGCTCACAGGTCACAGGGAACATACCATAGACATTTACCTCATACTATATACATTTACCTCTACTAAATGAGAAGAAAAATGAGGTACTCTCTCAAAATCAAGTGAGTTTGGAACAAAGCTGTTTATGTGTGCAGCCAACTGCTTTGGCAGATACAGCGAACTGCAAACAAGGGATACTTTGCCCATGTAACACTTTAGAATTATGTGATGAGAAAACAGCATTACCACTTATTAAAAAAGTCTACATCATCTCTATAGCACATCTGCATATAAGCATTTCAATAAAGCAAGCAAATATCTAACAGATTTCAGAAGCTTATAACTACATCGTTTCACAGAATTATTTACCTTAGATTTTGCTGAGTCACTAGTAGCTGAATCTGTGGAAAAAATGAAAAAAAAATCTGCTCAGTTCTGTGCTATTTTTTCCACTGTTGCTACAGACAATGCTGGACTTATGGAAAAAGGAAAGCACAGAACAAAATGTGAAGCAAATAAAAACCAGAACAGAGTGAATAGTCAGAGCTCACAAAGATGCAAGCTGCACCACAGAAAGCCACCGCCATGAAAGGATGCTGTGAATTGTAGGCAGAACCAGCTCAATGATAGGAATGGCAAAGGAGCCCTGTTCTTCTAAATAAAAAACAGAAATACTAATGTTTATTCAATGTTTTAAGTATACAGCCCCTGCAAAACCGCAGCTGAGACACCTTTTCAGGATCGTACTGTGTACTCTCCTGAGATTCAGGATAGACAACGCAAAATTGAATCAGTACTGTTGGCTGCCCTAGGTACAAATCATGGTTCACGTAGTGATACTCTTTTTGTGAGGTTTTAAAAGAATTAAGTCATATTTTGTGTGTAAAACCCCAATTACACATCTCTCCCCACCTCTGAGTACATATAGGTAAAATTTCATTTTTAAATCAGCTAGATTTCAGCAGCTACCCAGTTTTGTGCTTTTCTGTAAGAAGCGCTATTATGGAATGAAAAATGGACACCATAGTTTTACTGTCTCGCAAAACCCAAGATTATACAATTACAAAGGGGGTAGAAAGGGGCTAGCACAATGACTAAAAATATCAACACGGAAGTGTTCCAGCTTTAGGGACTTTCTCCCTAGGACAAAAGAGCTGAGCCCCCTGCCACACCCCTTTTTTGACACATGGCTAATGCTTTATGACTAGAAAGACTGGTAGACCATACCATGCTATTTCTCCTCAGGGTCTGCTTCAGAGATAACAAGAAACAGCAGAAAAACTTTTTAAAAAGTAGCATTGATCTGTTTAAAATACTCTTAAAAGAAAATTTACAGCACAGATCAACTTTTTTTATTTTCCATTTACAAGAAACGGGGGTTTCTGCAGACAAGGCAGCTACAGTGCGGGCAACAGTCCTCCTTCTTCCTACAGTTCCAGCTGTCCATCAGTGACATCACAGAATCCACTAATGACATCACCGTGTGATAGACTCCTCCCACTTCGCCTGTTACAACATCCGTATAAAGTGACTGTTTCAGTAAGTGCTGAACGACCCTTTGAATACTGAAACAAAAGCTAGAGACGAAGGGATAATATTTGTGGGATACAACATGCTAGGTTAGTGCAATATAGTGAAGGGGGGGGGGGGAAGTCACCAAAAAAGAGCCTGCAATGCTTGTCCTTAGCCACAAAAGAGGACGGCATTTATAAACAGAAGGAAACCAGCTTTAGTATAGACATACTGCAACATACTTATTAAAGTGTCCATCACTTGACAAGAAAACATAACTCCATATTTTGCATTCCTAACGTTGGGAAGGAGCAATATTAAACACCACTGAAGATCAGCCTTTCTGCCATCACAACAAACCACTGTACAGCAGCATTTCTGATTCCCCTCACGATGATGATTGCATGGGTTACTGTGAATAAACAAAATAGTATGTGCAAGCTTCATCTTTTAGTGATTATATTCCTGTTAGACAACAAAGTTTCCCAAATTGTGTCATGCATGATTATCAACAATTCAAGTCTTTAAGAAGTGTAAATGATCTTTTGGAAAAGAGAAAAAGAGTTTATTAGTAAAAGAAAATACGAAGAGAGAGTTACTGTGAGTTAACAGAGTAGGTTATTCTAGCCTATGGACTACCACTGTCCAGGGCAAGAGTTACCTGATACGTCTCCAGGAGATATTCCCGTTCTTCCAATGTTGGTGAGTAAATGATCTATGTTTGGCACTGGCTGAGATTCTACAGTGTTTTCCTCCTGAACTGCTGTCTATAGTTAATAAACAAAGATCTCTTCATCATCGTTTCACAAATAGTTCATCATGATTCAACAGCATTTAGAAAATTGCATTATTCACCTGAGGACACGCTTTCCTCACGTATTCTTATTTTCCCATTTTGCTTTATGCTTTTAAAACAAATGCACGTCTTGCTTTTTAAAAAAAGAAATCATTACTGCAAGGACTGGAGAGCTAAAAAGGTGCTTCTATAGAGCAAACTGCACAGCGACGTACTAAGAAATATACAGATATTCTAGAGGCAGCAGAAGCAGATTCTAAGCTAAGATAATTAGAGCACAAATATTTATGACACAATACTTACAAGAGGTTCTTCAGCATCATCTTCTGTGAAAAACCAGTCATGCTACAATTCAAAATAAAAAAGGTGAAAACCCCACAGGAAACACAAAACCCAAACGTGGAACAATCAAACATGGACATCACTAAAAACAATATCGTTGAGCTGGACAGATAAATACCAGATGCAAAATGGCCCAATGAGAGAAAAGCTGATCATCTGTGTACGATCTTATTTTTTAAATAACGAAATGCAACCACTTACTTTTTGGATGAGTGTTTCTACAATTTTATATTGGTCTGGCATGTGCGTAACCATGTGTGTCATGTTATCATCAGACGTCCTCACGAGCGTTGGACCGAATACTATGGCCAGGTTTCTTGGTTCCATCTAAGAAATGAAGTATTTCCACATCATGTATTTATAATGAGAAAACAGTAATATGGGCTAAGTACATTAATATAACACTATTAACATCAGAGAACCATTTTACATAAGAACAAAGAAAAAGTCTTTGAGAACACATTACTGACTCTGGTAGGACGTTAGACTACACTAAAATTCTTCTATACACAGCTGCAATAAATGCATCCAACATTTCCGTAATCCAGAAGTCAACCTTCCTTAACACACTGCAAGTAAATAGCTCCACAAGCACAGAAATGTCAAAAATCTCCAAGAGTATTCTTTTTTTCTTCCCATAAGGACTATTTTTTTGTTAGAAACACTGATGTTTCAGGATATTTTTATTTTAATAAAAAGGCATTGGTAGTTCCCCACTTTTTTCCCCCTGGAAAACGTTTACATGGCATGCAAAAATTAAGCTAGTAATCAAATACTGTATTATGTCTACTGAGAAAGAGTTTATTCAATTTGCAACCACTTTAAAGGAGGCAGCAGCAACCAACATCATAGACTCAATGCATTTCTTCATGAGGCAGACTCAATTATCCAATCATGTCACAACACAAGAGTAAATTAAGTGGATGACTAAATGTTACATCTCTAAGAAATAATTCCAAGAAAGCAGCAGCAGAATACTTACCTTCTATTTTTGCTTAGTTCTCTTAGGAGTTTACTGTTGTGACACAGAATAGACCAATAATACATAGGAGGCAAAGGTCCTCATGCTTACCAGAAGGAAGTTGCAACTATAATGACACGAGCCCCTAATGCTCACTTCGACCTGAATTGTGGTCTTTGGCAAGTCACACAATTAAGCATCACCTCACTCATCTAGCCTTATATATCCTAGAATACTATCTGAACAACATTTATACAACACACCAAAACCATAAAATGATAAATGATGGTTTACTTCAGGCACTGCACTTAAAAATTACATTTACTACAATTTCCTTATAAAATAATCTGTAATTCCACTAAAGGTTATAATTTGTTAAGCATTTTTTATATACGCACACACATTTTTATTTCATATTTAACTATAAGGTATTATTTGCAGCACTGATGTTGGAACCAACCACATTCATTTAAACCAAGCCTTTTTCTCATCATTTAAATGATTTAAGATTTGCCATAGGTTCCTCTACATACCAATCAATTTTTTTTCCTGTACCCTGTACATTGGTAGCGAAGTAACAAATCCCCATGTCACCTGCCCTGAGGTAAGCGTCCATAAGCACACCCATACTGTGCACAGCTTTGCATTCACCTACCCCACCCTAAGAGGTAAAAAAATGGGATACTATTATTTGCATTTACTGTAGGATTATAGCATGCACAGAAGCACTTAATGCAAACTAACTCTTCCCCACCCCATGGAAATGACAAAAAGCTATTCTTAGTGGCGGGCTAAGACCCTGTAGTGCTAAATAACCACCCTTCACATAATGAATTTTCTTTTGTAAAATCAGTCAAACCAGCATCTGTGGGTCATCAAACATTCAAGTAATTATAGCAAGTCCTAGTCTTAAAAATGACTCCACCAACCAGGAAGCCAGGCTTCACACCAAGCTGGTGCAACAGTCTCCCAGCAGGTTCATCCAGGGCACAGACATTCCCCTGTGCCCTGGTCAGGCACACTGATACTGTCTAGATGGGATTGTATGGAATTTACAGACCTGGGATAAATTCATGATATAAGCAGTTATTCCCACAAGAATTAATACCAGTTTGAATAAACTAAATTCACACTGAACAGGCGCGTATTTTGCAGGAGTCCTTAGTCTAAACCAAAAATCTTCTCAAAACAGCAAAGACCTTAGTTTTACAATAACAAATTACCACCTTAATAGAAATAATTCTGCACAAAACCTGTACTTAATAAATGAAACAAATCAAAAGACTTTTGTTTCTGATACCTTGTTCTTTTCTGAGTTCTCTGCTACTGTCTTCAGGTGCGCAGAAAGAAACTTGAGAGTCTCATAATGATGTTCAGGTAAATCATGAATCTGAAACAAAAAAAACACTATTCAGAATATGAAATATTTAATGCTAATTTTGTGGTGCACTTACAACACACCTGATTTCAGCTTACCAGTCTCTTCAGTGTTTTCAGACGTTCAACAGGATCTTCTTTTCTATTGGCATCTATAAAATCTGCATATTTGTCTGTTAAAAAAGCAGAAATTAGCCACATATATATATATGAGTTTATGTACATACATATGTATGTATATTATGTATATGCATCCTCAACCCCCTTTCCCGTGAATACAGACAGCATATATACACACATACACACATTCATATGTATGAATGAGCTTTGGAAGTCATAAATAAGTCCATTAGATTGTATATAATATAGTAAGATGGCGTGGGGGAAAAAAAACAGCTGACATAGAATATTGCAACAGTAAAATCACAAATTTTACTCAGGTTTTTCTGCAAATTTGTAATTCCTTCATTATCATAGAAATTCTATTTACAGCTCTCATTAGCATTCTTACAGCTCTCTCTTTAGCTCTGTGATCACCATGACTCCCTGCTCTTTCAGGGAGAAAGAGGGCTTTTATTACAGTTAGGATGATTCCACTGGATTTTCTCTCAAATCATCTGAAAGATGTAAGACAATTCAACAGTAATTCCTAAAGACAAAAATCATAATATAAACAGCTTACCATTGGTAAAAAGGGGTTCTGGGAGCTTTCTGAAGAAGGATTTCAGCAAACTGCTTATCACATTCAAGTCTCGCCATTTCTACACATTTAGAAGAAAAGGACAGACATGCTTTATATTTCTATAATCACAACACAACCAGAAGTTTTTGGGACTTCGACTTAGAAACAGTGTGATCGAAGACTTACATCATCATGAACATCGATGTCAGTCATTCCTTTGTTGAGCTCTTCCTGCATACTGGAGATGGCAGCATTATTTCCAGGAACTCTGTAAATACCTGTGTACTCAAGGCCTCTTTCTTCAACCAGTTTGCAGCATATATCAACGATCAGTGGAATATACTGAAGTAAAGGAAAAGTTACATATACATTTAAGAATAATTCATACAAAAAGTATCTTAAAGTCACAATGGAAAGAAAAATTGTCCTTCCATACTTTGTTGGTATGAGCTGGGGGGCAGTCATCAAGTCTAACACCAAATGTTCCTACAGCAGATGGCTTCTTCTCAAAGGTCTTCCTCATAATGCTTGGGATGCCTTTTCTCCATGTCCCCTTGTCTTTTGGTGGGCTTGTCTCATCTTTTTTGTTGTTAGTGTAACACAAACAAGGAAATAAAGAAAAAAATAAACTCATTTAAGTCACAAAAACTACTGTGAATACAGGTAACAGATTTGCAAAAATTAGGCGACACCTACTGCATTTTTACCTCTTTTACTGGCCCAGCTTCCCACAATAACTCCCTCAACATAAGTCTCAAATATACCTTCTTTTACTGTTCTGTGATTCAAAAGATACATTTGGGCATACTCACACCCCAGATTTACAAAAGCAAATAGCTGAATGGTACTGAGGAATTTCATCATTCCAAGACTACAGGTATATAAATTACATTTTTAAAAATTAAAATCCACATTTAGTAAAGCATTATTAAGTCTCCACTGAACAGTGCTGCACAAAATACCCATGAAACTATACAGCCAGGCTTCACACTTGCATAGACCTACTCACTCTTTCAAAAATTATCAGATTTTAATCACTCCTAAATCATTCCAAACAGAACTCAAATGCTTAAAAAAGCATTATCTATCAAAAAAATCACATAAGAAGTTCAGTCACTCTGTTTTCCTCTCCTGTTCATGTAGCAAATTACAAATCCCATTTATCCTGTACTGCAAGTCACCCAACACAATAGTACTTCCTTCTTATTCAGGTATTTCCAGAAACAGTTTTTCAGCAGATCTGACATTTACTTAACATCTGCAATTTAGTCACATAATCTGTGACATAGCAGGAGCTATGTTGGTAGTGTAAGACAGAATTCTCTCAGCCTAAATTCTGAATTGTTCAGAAGTGGTTGATCAAAAGGGATTTCTCAGACAGCTGCCTGAATTTGTATGCAACACCCTTACAAGCAGAGTCTGATCAGAAATATAATACGTTTACAAATCCTGAAAAAAAGGCAGCTTGTGATGTTATTTGATGGAGTTCAGTTACTGATTTAAGTTTGCAGGGCCAGCTCATTGGACTTTTTTAGAACCGAATTTTGCTCTGAAAAAAAAAGTACAGTCTCACTCCTGTATTTTAAAGATTAAGACAAAAAAAATGTTCTTGTCTACTGCTAAAACACTTCAGTGGAAAACTTCGTTTTCTTAACAGCACGTTTAAAATACGAATTTACCTTGTTATTTCCAAGTCAGCTGGAGACAAAAGTATGAATTACACACAAAATTACTTGTAAAGCTTGGCAGAATTTTGGTCACAAGAAGTGCTAACACCTGTATTTTACTACTGTTAACACTACACGGAGCTGTAGAAAAAAAAAAATCAAAACCCTCTTGAGAGATGACTAGAATAAAGAATTTCAGGGATCTGAGAAGACCTGAAGCATATCTAAGATAACATCTAAATGAAGGAGTTATAAGAAACAAGTTATTTTTGCTGCAGCTGGTTAAGAGCTGGTTTGCATCTGTATATTCACGAGTTCAAAAAACCTGAGAAATGCACCTTGATGGCCTCACACCGGGGCTATAACGAACTAAAGAAATACACAAAACATACAGACCTTTAGTGAGAAGCTTCCTTTCAGACTCATCCTTAGGAGAATGCGGACTCTGGGTCCTCTGTTCTGCTTTAGTTCCAAGCAGAGTCTGTCTGATGCTTAGACTCTGGCGAGGTGTTTTGGGAGATGGCTCTGTTTTGCTGCTTGAAGAACTGAACAAGATATATTACTTCAATTTAAAAAAAGAACACAAACAAAAAAAGCTTGATAAGAAGTCTACAAAAACTACTAGCAGCATATTATTCACCTACCTCATCATTGTACTGTATTCTTTAATCCTTCGACTAATTAGATCTCTACTAGTGACACCAGTATCCTGTAAAATGAATTGAGATTTACTTTACAATCTTATAAAATACAGCAAAAATTTTTTACTTTAAGAATATGATTAAGTCTTCCTGTCAACAGACCACATATGAAAAATTAACATTTCAGTACAGTTAAAAAAAAAGAAATTAAAAAAAAAAATCTAACAGGCAGTCCTTGAGAACAGTAAGGACAGACAATTTAAAAACCATGAAGGAAACGAAAGTGAGGAATTACTTAAATCCTGCTATTTAGACTTTTTTTTCAAAGCAGTAAAACCTCATTAAATCCTATTAAATTGAAAGTAAGTTTAAATAGAAAATATGCAAGTCAACATACCCTACTACTCTGAAAAACCCAATCCTATGTGCACGCAGTACTACGTAACTAATTACTAATGCACATACAGCTGAAACAGCCATAGGATCAAATGTGCTTTCATCCACCTGTCTAATAATGTTTATTAAGACATTTTCCTTCGGATAATTATTTCAAATCTGAACAGATGTGAATGACCACAGACATGAGAATACTCCTCTGTCACTTATCATGGAAATGAAAATGCACTGAGGACAATATTGGGACAGATATTGATATGTTATGTACAATAGTATATGTTTGCATATGTATGCAAGAGTATTTGCTTTGTAATTAGCATTAAAATTTAATTCACAGAAACATCTACATTTAAATCAGAGAAACGGGCTTCCTTCAAAGTTTCACTTTTCAACTACTGAGAAACTCATCACATCGTACCAATGCATACACCACTTTGCAATGCAAGTCTGAAGACAGAACACACTGGTTCTAATACTGCAATTATCTTTTTAAAAGATTAGGGATTTTTGATAGATCAGCTTAATATGAAGTGCATCTTTAGTCAAAGCAGCAATGACTTCAATAATTCATCTATTTAAAAAGTCTGCTCTCTGAGTACGTCAGGCTTCTTTTAACTCTATTTATTTACTCTGTTACCTTGTCTTGCACATTTTCTCACATGTTCCTGTACACATTTTGGTCTATTGTTTAATGGCAAATGATTTCTTTTTGTTGAAGAATTATAAGAAATTACAATAAATTTTAACTAAAGACAAGAACTATGGCTTCTGCATTATATAATATACAATTACCTCATCATTTAAGTTGCTGTTGTCTTGTATTGCTTTAATCCATGATAACATATTATCTCTGTCCTCAGCTTGAAACAGATACTCGCAGTCTGATGTGGTGAGTCTAAAAACATTTTTCCTCTTGGTTTCACAGTACGAGATATCTATCAAACAAGCATTGATGCTTATGGGTTGTTCTTCTTCAGACGGGGTCACTTGTTCCTTTTTGTCCTTGTACAAATAAAGCGAATGACCTCGAAGAACAACATACAATTGCTTCCATGGCCGAATACTCCCACCAACTCGCTGAAAAACATCAACCAGTATGTTTGTTTGCTGATTTGTTACAATTAATGTTTCTGGATCTAAAAAAACCTACCTCCAGAAGTTTTAAAGAGAAAGCCTAACAACCTACCTATACCATTCTTAAGAATGGCTACGGAAAGACTACACAGAAGTACACTGATTGCTGTTAGAGGAGTGAATTGCTCAATAGCCTGCCCTCCCTGAACCCCCAATTAAGCACACATTCACATATGACAGTAGCAAGAAACAGAAATGTGACTACAATGTCACAGAGGCATTAATACAAATATAGTGAAAAAACCATTCAGTTTTAGTACACTCACATTTACACACCACTGCAATTCCAGACTTCCAATTTTCTTAAGTGTTGGTCTATACTTGTGCAGAAGGTCAATCTGAACTCATCTCCGCAACACTCACGTAAACTACAGCTTTTATCAAATTACAATTATCAAGGGACTAATTCTTACTACTCAGTCATTTGAAGTGAGTTTACTTCAAAGATGGTCTGAAACGTAAAATTAGAAACACTGAGTCATTTAGGCTGGAAAAGACCCTTATAATCACTGAGTCCAACCATATACCTAAACCTGTCAACTCCACGACTAAACCCTGCCCCCAAGCACCACATCTACCTGTCTTTTAAATGCTTTCCGGGATGGTGACTTCACCACTTCCCTGGGCAGCCCATTCCAACGTTCAATAACCCTTTCAGTGTAGAAATTTTTCCTAATATCCGATCTAAACCTCCCCTGGCACAACTTGAGGCCATTTCCTCTAATCCTGTCGGTTCATTAGTTCAGAAGACATTTTGGAAAGCAGTCTGTAAAAGAAGCTGAGGAATTCACTGAAGTCAACCTTCTAGCAGCTGTAAAATTCTGTCAGTCTTACTGATGCTCATATCCCAAAAATGTCAGTTAAAAAAGCAAAACAGGAAGGCTTTTTTTCCACCAGCTAAATACTAACACTAGGTTAAAAAAACCAGATGTGACAGGTACCTTTCCCTTGTCTGTAACAAGCTGACGAAAATGGAGCCATCCCTCCTTGGAGGCATCACCAAAGACCTCTGAAGAAGAATCTTTTCGGGAACCAGAGTCTTCTGAAGATTTCTGGCTGTCTGAGACCTAAAGAAAACATTACAAAAAGAACCTCACAGTGTACTTCTAAGTATGTTTCTCTACAATCCCTGCATTCAAGATGTCTCTCTCTTTAAAAGCTGACACCTCATTCATAAAAGAAACAAACTAAGAATATTCCTCTGGGGAAATACTATTTCTAAAGTTTCCATACAAAAACAGCGACCTTACACATCCCAAGAACACTCTGAGAAACTGCAGGCGTCTTAGATTCTCATCAGTAAGTTTTTACAAAAGCACACCATAGATATGCTTTGTTTACAGAAGCTGAGGAAAATGAAAAATTAAGGACCATGTTGCAAGCCTAGGAAAAAAGAGACCACGTTTACTTATGTGATGCATACAGCACCACTTGGGGAAAAACATTAGAGTCAATTTAAATATCTAAATCAATCGAAATTAATAACAATTTGATGAGTAGCAATTGCAATAAACTTCATGTCTGTGCTTAACACATCACTTTGTATAATTGCATTGTATAATCCATACAACTTGTCACAGTAGTACATGCAATTCTTAGTTGTTATATACATATATACCTACCTTAATCCCCTTTAAACTAGATACGTGCTTAATGGATCTGTTGGGAGAAAAACAAATGTTAAAATGAGATCTAATACACTTTAAAAATCAGATCTCCAAATTAACTGATATTTTTAATGAACTTACGGTTTTCCCTCTTCTCTGTAGTCATCCAGTCCTTCATCATACGACTTTGATCTCTCAGTTTTTGCAGCAGGCTGGCTATCCAGGACACTAGGCCGGATGGATTCTACAACCAAATAGAAAGTTTTAAGTGTGTAAGAACCTGAATCACATTTTTGCCATTTATTTCAAGCAGTAAAAAATTTACAATGTTCTCTCCTGTTCTCCAGAGTATAAAAGGAAAAAGTTGCACAAGAAGAAAAGAACAAGAAATCAACACTCACCATGATCATGAGAAAGCTGTCGCCGAATTAAAGGGATTGGAGATGTGGGGCTGGGAGGAACAGTTGCTATAGCTGGTGCTTGAGAAGCAGATGCAGAAATAACAGCAGAAGCATGAATGTGTGCAATATCATGGTCAATACTAGGACTAGTCGGTTCATCTACAAAGGTAATATGTCATATATTAACATATTTAATGCAAATAGCTGTCTGAACTTCTCATTATTGGGATATCAGATTAAGTATCTTAAACATTAAGTCTTTCAAACAAACATACGGGTCCAATTAATTCGCACTGCCCAATGTACTTTTTGTTTAAGAAAAAGGAGCCTGTTTCATTGTGTAAGAATGTTAATTGTACATTAGAGATAACAGCAAAAACATCAAACCCAATTATAGATTTTGCTGTGAGCCAATGAAACAGAAATTAACAGAAACAGGAATTATTTGTTAAACTCTTAATGTTAACTGACTGTTTTTGTTTATGCGCATAAGTGAAAAACACACTTATTACATCAGTAAGTCTAAACTCAAGAAACAGGTAAGTACGATTTTCTACTATAAAATATGGGCATTCAGACTACCAGAAGTCATTTGGTTTAAATGAGCATTAAAATAACAAAAATAGGTTACAAGCAAAGAAAGAAGCATTTTAAACCGATTTCCAGCATCCAAAGAACCAATTCCCCCATCCTCCACACCTTCAAAGAAAGCAGCAAGCATTCATATTTTTAAAAGACAGCACCACTACATACCGATGAGTTCCTCCACTAATTGCTCGTACAAACGATTGCATGCCGTACATGCCCAGCACCTCACAGTCTCAACAGCCACAAGGGTCATGATGAAAGATTCCAAAAAGCTTTAAGTATTTCTAGTATTTAACATCTTTCGTACAAGATGGAAGAAGGTGAAAGACGCATTTTCAATCATTCTGAGAAAAAAGCCATAACACCTTCTAGAACACATTGCTAGGACTGGAAAAATAATTCTACTTCATGCTGTGGTAGAAGAGGGGACGGGGAGAAAAAAAGAAATCAAGTCACAAGCAGGGGCTGAACTATGCTGTCATAATGAATATGAATGTATTCTAGGTGCTAAGAATTGTAATATGCAGAGCTACTGAAAAGCCCATTGAAATCAATGAACACTCACAGACAGAGGTTCATTCTTTGCTTTGTGCGAACACAACTGCGTGTGCAGCATTGTGCTTTTCCAACAGGCACCAACAGTTCTGTTAAGGCAGCACTTGTACCATCAAAATCTGGCAATGTAACTTTGAAACAAATCAATAAACAATTAAGGTACAGGAAGGTTTAGCAATAACAGCCCTCTAAATTGTCTGGAGTGGCAAACAGAATAATTCTTGAAGTTACATGTTAAAAAAAGCATAGCCCGCCAAAAACTAGCTGCAGACTAGAAACATGAATAAAGGGCAAATTAAAAGAATTCACAGCAAACCTGTTTTACTTGCATCCACAGTGATAAATTAGAAGTGTTTACAGAGCTCTTCTCTACAGCAAGCAGGCAATAGGAAGAACCTCAGTTACACTTCCATTTTAAAACTACAACAGCCAGTGTCCTATTGCCTTTCTTCATCTGCTCTGCTTCCCTGCAGCAAACCCAGAGAGCAGCACACTAACGGTGACTCAGTAGTATAACCACTCACCAAACAACTAATTAGTTCATAGTATGCAAACTGGAAGTGCTCAGCTTTAAGTTACTAACATTACAGTCTTATCTCAAAATGTCACAGTCTCTACTGCCTAAAGTTATAAAAATGCTAGTGCCCGAAATAAATCTGCGCAAGCTGTGAATCCAAAAGTGTGAGGCACCACTACATCATCTCCCACAACACTTAAATCCAAGAATTAAGATGAGGAAAAACAGTTTCTAAGTCCTTGAAAGCAACAATAATTATTCAAATTACTATAACTTCACAGTGGATCTAATCCCCAGTTGAATCAAAATTAAGAAGTGGCTTTAGAAATAGGCAAGCTTTAAAGATGTTGCAAATGACATTGATACAGGAGGGAAATAACTGTTCAGTCCCTGAAGAGGTTGAAGGTCAGCTAATGGCAAGCTTTTACATAATGTAAAGTGATTATAGAGCAAACCATGATGTACACCATATGAGTTACTGCCTACTAATTTAATGCACTACCACACAATACTGCTGCTGTCCAATAAAAATCAAAATCTGAACTATATATATCCCTTGTAATCTGACTTTCCTCTTTAGTGCTTGGAGTATTTGTCTACCTTTTCAGTTTCCTTGATTAACTGGTGTATTTGCACCCCAAAACTCCTTGCACAGCATACAAAAGGATGGGTTCAGCTCACCAATCAATGAAAGTGACTGTGTCCGAAACGTGGTGAAGCGTATGGAACAAACAAGCCAGAAGAGAAGCCACACCAAATAATCCTCTTTCAGTTTGTCACCTCACCGATTACTGGTGTCCTTCTAGATATTTGTAACAAAGTCAGACTCCAAGATTACTTAAACTTTTACTTTAAAAAAACCACACAGATCTGTGTCACACCCTACTGTGCTGCTACATTTTTATCATTATTAATACGATATTTAATGTCTTTTTTTATGCCTGAATCTCCTGAAACAGTCCTTCACAGTTAAACATGAAGGCTTGAAAGTAACAACCTGACCACTTGACCACAGAAGGTGGCACTTTTTGAGAACCTTAAACATAATTTAAATGAATCGCAGAATTATTCAGGTGGGAGCAAACCTCAGAAGGTCCCCTAGCCCATCTTCCTCCTCTGAGCAGCATGAGCACTGAGTTCAGACCACATTGCTCAGGGCTTTTGTCCAACAAGTGCCAAACAGAGGGGAATGATCTCATCCCCCCATATCCTGGCTCTTACTGACGCAAACAGTACGGTGTTCATCACCATGCAGGTGGTTGGCCTATTCCAGCAGCAAGACTTCGCATTTGTCCTTGAATTTCAAGAGGTTCCCATCAGAGCATCCCTCTAGGCCAAGTCCTTCCAAATACCCAGCTTGGTGTCGTCTGCAAATCGATGAGGGTATTCCACCTCCTCTCTAAGTTACTGATAAAGTTATTAAACAAGACAGACGCTGAAGAACGCCACTTGTAACCAGCCTCTAGGTAGAGCATGAACCCTTAGCCACTACTCTGTACACTCAACGATCCAGTTTTCCTACCCATCCAGCAGTACACCCACCTAGACCATGGCACAAGCATGGTGTCACAGAAAAGGTCAAAAGTCTTGCTTCAAGGTCAAGGTTGGTGACCTCCTTGTTTTTGGGGGGGGGTGCTGCTGTGGGGCTTTTTAGGGAGGTTGTTGGGTTTTTTATTTTATCTTTCAGAAAACTGTTTATTTAACTGAATCGTAACATATAAGCACGGAGAGCAAATCCACAGACTAACTTTAGTCCAGAGAGGGCAACTATCAGGAATGATTGTGCTATCATTAGTGAAAGGCGATTTTTTCCACCAACCCCTGGGTATTCAAATTGCCAAATCCTTCTTCACTGGTAGCAGAAAGCAACTGGACAAAATTAGCTTCCCAAGGCTAAAGTAAAGTAATCTTTCATGACAGTTCCCCTTTGGACATGGCAGTCTTGCAAGCAGTATCTCAACACCTCAAAATAATGTAAAAAGGAACTGTATTATTTAGTAAGTGTATTGCAGATGACATTATTGTTTAAAACACTAATTAGTCATTTCAATTTAAACTGAAAATGTGAATATGGGGCTACAAACCTTAATGCAACAAGTATGTATTTTATCAAAGACTATTAGCTGATTTAAAGATAAAAATGTAATAGCCACGCAGCCAAACACACTTAAAACAGGGTTAAATTGATTTTCATGTGAAGAAAGTTAAGACAGCAGGCACCCCCAGACACAATATACAATTTCCCAAACTGCATACATTGAAGAGGACAACTGTATTTTAATATTATTGGCTTTCTGAAAACCATATCCAATTCTTGGATAAGGTATGTGTTTAAAGATGCCTGTGGAGTACTTAATGCAATTTTGGTTACTCACAGATCCCGTGCAATTTTAACAGTGATTGCTCTGTGTAAAGAGCTCAGCCTTCTGCAGAAGGCTACAGGGAGGTAACTCATGCTGCTTTCTGTCTCCAAAGCAAAGGGCTAAGAGTCCTTAAAAACATTATCTTCATTCAACAGAGGCACAGATGTGAAAGTTTCTATATACTGAGAGAGCATCTACCTGACAGCCATTACAATAGGTATTCTAACCACTGCCTCTATTTCTTCAATAATTCTCTCAGATAACAGGTTATGGCTTTTAAGGTATAATTTAAGAATGAATCTTACACGGCTTATAGCAGAAACTAAAGCACGAACCATCAAGTACTCATTAGAAGAATGACTAAACCTTTTGTTTACGGAAGGACAGACAGGACACACCAGTGACACGAGCAGACCCCACAGCAACACTGGCTTTAGAGGTGCTCCCTCACTTCCAGCTCCTTGTCAACAACTCCTGTGCAAGCCGCAGCCTTGGCCCAGCCAAGCACCTGATACCACGACTGCTCTGCATCATCACAACGCCACCCTGCTCCAAAGTATTCTCCTTAAATACAGTACACAACAGACTTGAAATCTCGTCCCACATCCAATACCTCCTCTGTGCCTCTCAGTTTATGGACCTAACCCTGCTGCGACACAAGATAGCACAAAGGATTAATTAATAACCCACAGCAGTGACTTTTTGTTACAGATCTTGAAGTACAAACTGCTGCATCTTCAACCTGCAAGGGTCAAAGCTCCCACGATTAAAGGCTTTCAAGCCTAAAACACGTTATTTGGAAAAAAAGTGGATTTGCCTGGATTCATCATGACTTGCTACCTCAATTTTCAAAAAAGTGTCTTTAAAAAGGTTTTGTTTGTTTGTTAGTTTTTAAGTATTTCCAGCACTGATTGTTTTTACAAAGAGTTTCTTTATATATCTACTTTACGTAATTATCCTCTTGTAGCCAAAAGAATAGAATGGCAACATGTCTGCATGCTGAGCACATTCATTTCTGCAAGCCACAGAAACACAGGGCTGGAACAAGCCTCCTGAATCATCAAATCCAGTCCTGGGCTAACGCGTCCATGTAAATAATATGTTTATTATACTGATTGAGTTTCACACAAACAGAA